TATCCTGTTAAGCTACTTTTCTTTGTTTCATGGGTGGGCCCTCCACAATTATAATTTGATGCAACTTAATTGCTAATATCAGTATCACTGATGCATCATTTTACTAATATTTTATTTCTCCAGAAAGTGATGTTACACTGAAATAATTAATAATTACGAAAGTGAATTTGATCTTCGAAATTTGTCTTGAGTATACCAAGTCAAGTAGGCTTTGATCATTTGGATAAACACAAACACATTCAAATTAGACAACCAGTTCATAATAGTAGTCATTAATCAGACAAATTAGGTGGTGTAGAAAAGAACGAAGAAAATATGTTCAATTTAATATGGAAAAAATCAACAACAGTCATGGTTTTAAGCACGGTCCACTTTGATGCCTTTCGTTTTACGTTTCTCCAAATTACTTAATTAATTGAGAAGGCATAATGCATTGAGAAGACATATGGGACCTGACAAGATTATTATGCCTCCTCCCTACTTTGGTCCAATTTAGGATTGTTATCACTTTCTAAAAAAAAAATTGATTATATTGTGCTTTGAAAATAACCTACTGTAAAGTAAAGCTGTTTCATATTTGGTAAATAATATTCTTAAAGTGTTGTTAGTATAAAAAACAGTGTCAAAACGGTTTGGTAAATTTTAATATAAAATTATTGTAACTATGAATAATGACTCAAATGAACATAATATTGAAAGTGTTATGTGCTAACCATGTGGTAATGGTGATGGGTGCCGGAAAAGGAGGAGAGGGTATAGAACGGAAGGACCCAAAACCTCAATTTGACTAATAAGAAACCCTCTGACGGTCTAAAACTATAGAAGGGCTCATTACTACATATCCAGCTCGCATTTGGATTTGGACTGGATTATTACTTGATTTCTTTTGGTCGCTTTACACAAACCCTAGAATATTCCTTTGATAAAAAAGAAGAAGATAAAAACCCTAGAATATCCTTAGCTTTTTGTAGGAAACCAAAAGGCAATCTTCTTATTTCTTAATTATCTTTATTTCTTAATATCCTTATAATATTATTACCCTTATGCTTCCGTGATGCGTCACACTTGTTGTTTTTATTATCTACAGTAATATTATTTTGATGGATCCAATAATGTGTCTCTCTTGATTCTATGCAAATTAAGTGAAAAAATAATTCGTACTGCACAAGTTGATGACTGGTTTGGTTAGCGTGTTATGGTTGTTGTTAATTTATGTTCTGTACTCTTGTTACAGGTTTACCAACCCATTATTTTATATATATTTTTTCTTAAAAAACTTATCTTACTCCATACAGATGAATCAATATTTCCAATCTGAAAGCAACACCATCATCTTCAAGCCGACCCAATGAATGATATGTTTCTAAAAGCTAGTGATCATACTTTATCCTTTTGTTTTAATTCAGTCCTCAAAATATAACCATTAGCTCGAACTTCTCTCTTTTTTTTTTTTGGTTCTTTCGTGTAGGACTAGTATAGCCCAACCTTTGTCGAAATTTAAGAGTATATGATTGAATAGAAGCAAATTTTAGTGTTTAAATAGTATTTTCTCACCTACGTAATAATATGAAGAGCAAAATTTTACTCTCCCCAGCCGCAGTTCTTTAAGTGACGAGGAAAAGAAATCAAACTTTTAATTAAATGACGACGAACTTGTTGAAATTGCTCAAAGGATTATTTTTCATCTCACAAATAAATGCTACAGCTACTATGATAAATTAAAGACAAAATTAAAATTAATCATAATTCTATAAACATGTAACATCCCATCCCAAATTATAAATTTTATTTTCGAAATTTTAACATGATTTGATGGTTTTGCTCCTAGGGTTTTTAAGTGGGTTAGGGTTCACATTTTGTTTGGGACTAGTTTTGAATTTTTTTCTCTTTTCGCTCCATTGCATAGAGCTTAAGCTCTCGAGTATGTAGACACATAGTTGACCCGAATTGGAGTTAAAATGGAAGTGTAGTGGCCCAATGGGCTGGAGCACATTTTTCTTCTCTCTCCCCTCTCTCGCACAACACAGTAATCCGCCACATGTACAAGATTCGTTACGGATTCCAAAGGAGAATATAGGTTTAGTCTTGTCAAAACAAGAAGACAAAAATTTAGCATTTTTTTTGTCCTCTTTCACCTAGAGCTTCTCCCTTTCCAGAGTTAGGAAGAGGGAGGGAGTATTCTTACACACACACACACACTACCAAGATAGTTCGAACTTGAGACCTCTAATTTGTAAGTCAAAGCTCTTTTCACCTAGAACTTCTCCCCTATTCACCTTTTCCGATCCTCATACAAACAATTTTATTGGCAACAGAGAAATAAAAATGGAACAAAGTTACCTTTCTTCACCGTCACCATTAGTTGATTATGCCATATGATGCCAGAACAACAACAACAGACAAAGAATTTTTACCCGCTAATTTTTTAAAGTCAGCTTTATCCCTTTATACTTCTATACATTTTAGTACGTAGAAACACCAAAATGATTGATTACTATGATAAGATGTTTCAATGGGTGCTACTATTGGAAACCAAGAGCTGCTGACTTTTAATTCTAGTACACTGAAAATGAAACAAGTGCCAACCACAAAAGCAAGTCCAAAAGCCAATCTATTTGGAACAATAAACTCAATGGAACATGCATATAGTAAATTTGGCTTACATCCTTCAAATTCAATTTGCCGTAACTATAACTTTTCACTTTTTGTTCCTATAAATAATACCCAATTTGTATAAGTAAAAACCCATGACTATGATCCAACTCAGCAAGTTACCTAATTAAGCATAAAATCTGATTTATTGTACTTTTCAGATTCCAAAAATACTCTCAACTAAGCCATTATTGCATTTTGTATATTAATGTAGGAATCAATATGGAAACAGTTTTTAATTGGATTGTATATAATGACAGACGTTGAATTTGGAAAGATCTCCAAATGGTTGTAACGGATGTAGAAATTAATTTGGAAACATTTTTTAAAATTTAACAATAAATACAGATTTAGGTAATCGGTTTGTTTAATAAAAATGTTTATGTTATTTTCTTTTTATGGATTATACATGACTAATAATCTACTTTATAATTGTTTATGAATAATACTGTACATACTAATTATGTTGAAAAAATAATGTACCTATTACTTGTTCTATGAAAAATAACTAATAACTTTTTATTGTTTGTTTTATGAAAAATATAATTTACCTAGTATGAATAGTGTACCTATTTTTAATTTATAAAAAGTGTACATAATTATAACTGTACATACTAATTATGTTGAAAAAATAATGTACCTATTACTTGTTCTATGAAAAATAACTAATAACTTTTTATTGTTTGTTTTATGAAAAATATAATTTACCTAGTATGAATAGTGTACCTATTTTTAATTTATAAAAAGTGTACATAATTATATAAGGTAAATTACCTACATTATACGACATCCAATATACCTACATTAATTTTAATATACCTACATTATATGTAATTATGGTTTAAAAACCTTTTCTGGAAAGTTTATAAAACTGTTTCTCACTCAATCCTTAAATCATGTTATCATTTCCTTTTCTACCTTCCAAGCCATTCACACTTAATCATAAACAAAATTTTATAAAAACATTTGAAATCAAACTTTATGCTTGGAAAGTAAAAGCCATAAGTAATTCATTCATGATGAATTAATAAAACTTTTACTACATAAAATTCATTTATAAAACAAAAGTCCACTCACTGGGCGTCCGAGCTAGCCTGACCCTTCGAGGGTCCTTCCTGCGGGTTCAATAAAACCCTAGTATCTATTTAAGCAATTAAAACATTTAATTAATAAAATAGCTCAATTACAAATATTTAATCAAAACCCTGATCCCCGGCCTTAAAAGTGCATGTACGTAACTTAAGAAGGTTCCTAGGCCCATTTTCAACAATTCTGACAGGTGGAATGGTATGAAAAGACCCGAAGTTAAATAAGCGATTAAATTTCTATATTGGTCATTCCAATCCCCCGTGAGGTCCACAACCTCCGATTAATAATAGCGAGAGTTCCTATAGGTTCAACACAATTTACTGAACATGCCTAGCAAGTTTGGGGTGGTAGTGGTGACAACGATGATTCCAAATTCATATGTTATTGATCAGTGACACCATATGGCAATGTGGACCTTCACACCCAATAATTACTTAATCAATGGTGTGCCGCCGCACTAATGGTGTCCTGTCGTAGATTGAATAATTCATCTAGTAAATGTTCTTTTTTTTTCTTTTCCATTTCTGCAAATAATAAACATTCAGTTTTGAATGTTCTCTCATTATATTCCAGAGAAATTCAGCAATGTAAAGTAGGAATGCATTATTGAATACTTTTATGTTAAAAAACAACGACGGTAGCAAGTTACTAATTAAATCTTGAAAATCATAAAACCCTAGTGACTGCTGATCTTGAGACTACATACAGTGTGCAATTTTTATTCATTTTCGAGTCGATATGCACATTTAGAAAGCTCACAAGCTCTCACGCACTTATGGGTTCAGTGGCTTTCTTCAGCCATGCCTTCTCAGATTCATCCACGTATGGGGCCAGAATATCCCTGCATTTGGAATGGTAGGTGTTGAGCCATTCCAACTCTTCAGGTGCTAAAAGACTCAAGTCGATCAACTTTCTCTGATATGGTGCCTGGACAGATTATGAAACATCAAATACAGAGGGATTAGCTCAACCTGCAATCTCTCTCTGGAAAATTTGCTTAAACAATATCAAGTTGAAAAGATCAAGTGGGTCTAGGAAAAGGGTTGTTATAATCGTAAATGCCGGGCAGTGTGCGCAGCATCAAGAACACAACTAACAAATTAAGCATTAAAAACAGGGCTAGACAGATACTGTCATTGTGAACTACAAGGCCCCATTCAGAAACAACCACAATGGCAATCACTTCAAGCTAACGTAGCTATATTATGCGCTCCAATTGCAAGCTAATTTAGCTATTCGATAGAGAACAACAAGCTTACTCATGTTATGTGCTCAAATTGCAAGTAACCCTTGTCACCAAAGTTGAATTTTGTATCAGCTTCGTTGATTATAAGCACGTTCTCCAATCTTATTCCAAAATTCCCATCCTCGTAATATCCAGGTTCTGAAAAGTGCAGTTTTACAGTCAGTCACTGTAAATGGTAACTACAAGTCAAATAGTCCCATTCAAGAAGCTCCTCCTAATAATTTACAGTCATGGCTACCCGAAACAATTTATAGATCAAGCATGCCCTAAAAATGTATGAGTAATAAAGTTGTTGACTCAAAGAGCTATGCATAAAGAGCAATAAGTTCAAAAACCACGAACACTAGAGCACAGATTCTAAAGGAAACAAGAAAGGCAAGGACTACCCAGTGTTTGTCTGAAAACACAATGCATGAGCTACAAGATAAGATAAAGTTTAGATAGAGTCCAAAAAACAAAAGAAAAAAAGGATGATCCACATGGCTATCCTCTAGCATGAGGGATTACTGCTTTGTTGAGTTTGAAAAAGTCATTATACAAGTGTAACAAAAAAAAAAATGTACATGGTGATACTAACCATCTGTTACAGTCATGGAAGCTTGCAGTGGGACATTTCGAGCATGCGGTCTGAAACTAATTAAATGTGGTCCTGCTCAACCAGTACAAATGGAAGGAAGAAATGAAAATTCATTCATTAGCTCAGATTAAACTATACATTAGAGATGAAGGATGAGCAGTTGTAGTTCCTATATACCTTCATGAACATTTAGATAAGACCCAATCCCATGACCAGTGCCATGTCGATAATCAAGACCACTCTTCCACAAAGGAACTCGAGCAAGAATGTCAAGTGCATGACCTGTAAAAAGTAAGCAGATTTAAATGTATTTCAGTTCAGACAAATTTAGAAAACTACACATGAAACATCTCATTTAAATGTGAAAGAAATAAAAAGACAAAAGCATGAATACCATTGGTTCCATTAGGAAATCGGGCATTCCCGAGAGCTATATGACCCTTGAGAACCTGCACAAAATGCAGTACATCAAGCAACTTCATAAGACCATAACATGAGGATTGGCTTGAAGGGACTTGGGAATAACAGTCTACATATATGTAGACAGTAAAGGATTCAACCATTGTGAACCTAAATTCATTCAACCATATATATATATATATATATGGGGTGTGTGTTTGACAATCCAAAGTGAGCTGGAGTGGTCAAAAAGTTGTTTTGGATTCATGACTTGAGATCGGACGTATTAAATAGTATTCTTACAAAAAGAAGTGATATTGAAATATCAAAAGTCATATTTACAACCAAATGGCTATTTGGCCAACAAGACTTGATTGCCCATAGTCTGGGCATCCATGCAAATATATGTTGAATGTTGGGGAGGCATTACAGCCTGGTAGATTGGAGACATGAATGAAGGCCAACTTAGTGGCCTATGAACCCTATATATATATATGGTAATATTGACTTCTTAACGTATAATTATTTTGTCATATATATATATACATATATTAATATTGAAAACTAAGGAGTCATGTAGACCTTGGCCAAGTTTCTTGGATAGATTCAGTGGAATTCCAAGCCACCCAACATCGGTGGATTATGTTCAATCAAAATTAGAGACTTCGGAAGCCACATCGTCTCACCAGATGTTAAGCCCAAGCCACCAGATGTCGAGCCCGACCCACAGAAGTAGGCCCAAAACCTCCGGATGTGTTCACACACGTGACGAGATCCATTCAAGGAAACCAATCAAAGAGAGTGATGTCAATCTGGAACATTCCTAAGGAGGAGAGAATCAAGTGATCAGATTTGCAATCCAATGATCCCATTCGAATGAAAGACCCCGACATCAGACACAAAAACCTACTTTTTGTCTTTCAATTTTCTATCCCTAGACTAGGTTTTAATTTTCCAAGCAAGTAGACTAGATCAGTTTTTCACTTTCGTTAGTGTAAGTTTAATTTCTTGCATTTTCCTTTACCTTGTTTTAAGATTCAAGCTTATCGTTTTATTTTTAATTGTTATCGAATTCTCTTTAAGTTTAATTTAATTTCAGATTGCTTTATTTTATTGTCTTTATTATTTATATCGTTCTTATTTCGTTCTTCGTTTAATTTACGTTTATCTATTGCTTTGATTTACTTTATTGCACTTTAATTCATGTTTTAAGTTCAATCGCATCTTTTAATTTAATTTGCATCATTATCATTAAAATCTCAAAATATACTAAATAACCCATACAAAACCTAACCATCCTCGACCCCGAGGAAGTGAAAGGACCTAGGCCAAGAGGAGGTTCCTCGCTTGGCCAATCAATAGGCTGGTTAGAAGTCAAAAGCGCGAACATAACAATCCAACTCTTTCCATTCAAGCCAATCAGTGGCTTGGTGGTGGCACGCCTACGCAATCCAAGAGAAGAAGGACCAAAAGTTCCTTCCAACGGCCACCTTGGCCGAAAAGAAGGAAACAGGAAGCCCTGAGCTATTTAGCGTGGCATTTATCGTATTCTTGAATGTACAGTTGTTCCTCTCCACAACACTATTTTGTTGCGGCATATAAGGAGCGGTTGTTTTGTTAATAATGCCATGAAAAGCACAAAATTCAGAAAAAGTAGAATACTAATACTCTCCTCCTCTATCTGATCTTAAAATCTTTATTTTCTTGTTGAGCTGATTCTCAACCTTAGCTTTATATGTCTTAAACACATTCAAAGCTTCATCTTTGCTGTGAAGTACATACACATAGCAAAAATTACTGCAATCATCTACGAATGTCATGTAATAATTTGTATCTCCACATGTAGGAGTTGATCTAAAATCACATAAGTCGTTATGAACTAAACCAAGCACTTCATTAGACCTTCCATGTGCATATTTGAATGTTTGACTAGCAAACTTAGATTCAGTGCATATTTCACACTTAACACCAACACTTATATCACATTTAGGAATCAAACCTAAGTTAACCATTTTGGGCAATGCCCTACAATTCACATGTCCTAATCGAGCGTGCCAAATATTAGAATAATCAACAAAGTAAGCAGGAGCCTTATTTATATTATTATTGAATGAATTAGCAAGTACATTGAGTTTGAACAATCCTTCAGCAAGATATCCCTTCCCAACGAACATTCCCCCTTTGGTAAAAACAAATTTGTCTGACTCAAATACAAGTTTGAATCCTTTTTTGCTCAAGATTGGTCAAGAAACTAAGTTTTTCCTAATTTCTAGAATATGCAGCACATTAAGGAGAATTAATTCCTTCCCATAAGTAAATTTCATAACCACACTCCCCCTTCCAACTAAAGCAGACTCAGAAGCATTTTCCATGAACAATTTTTCTGCATCTTCAACCTGTTGATAAGTAGAAAACGAGTTTTTATTACCACAGATGTATCTGGTTGCTCCTGTGTCAATCCACCAGTCACTAGTATCTGAAACCACATTGGTTTCAAACACTACAGCAGCAAGCATATCTTCAGTGACATTGATCTGATTCTGGTTTCTGTTGCTAGGGTTGAAGTTTGCAGGATTCATGGTCCCTTCTATGATGACACTCATGTGCCTAGTGTCCAGCTTTACCACAGACCCATCAACTTCCTTTGATTCGTTTAAAGTCTTTGCCTTTTGCTCTATGAAAATTCTTGTTAAACTTCTTAGACTTCTGAGAGTTTCCTTTTGGGTTCAAAGAATTGCCTTCCATAATGTTTGTTTTGGCTTCCATTAAAACCACTCCAGCCTTCTCACTATTTATTTTATCTTCCTCTATTCTCAACCTTACAATTAGATCCTCCATTGTCATCTCCTTTCTCTTATGTTTGAGATAGCATTTGAAATCTTTCCAAAGAGGTGACATGAAATGACTCATTGATTTTCATGCCTTTTACAATTATATCATGTATAATTTTATGAAGATCCTCTACTTGAATGACAACGGCTTTGGAATCTACCATTTTGGAGTCCAAGAATTTACCTACAACAAATTTCTTAGAACATGCGCCTTCAGTTTTATATTTTCTTTCCAAGGATTCTCAAAGTTCTTTGGCAGTTTTACACACTGCATACACATCATACAATGTATCATCAAGAGCTTTCAAGATATAATTTCTACATAGAAACTCGCTATGCTTCCAAGCATCTATTGCACTCAGTTTTTCTGCAGGTATTGCATCTCCTTTTAACTTAGGAGCATCTTCAGTCACAATGTGTGCCAGATTTAATGTTGTTAGATAAAATAACATTTTATGTTGCCATCGTTTGAAGTCTCTCTCTTAGAACTTTTCTAGTTTCTTGGTATTAGAGGATATTCCAGAGTTCACATTGCTTGATTGTTCCATTAAAATTTTGTCTGTAATTGTTAGAGAACAATCAGTTTAAAGAATATTTGATAACATATTTTAAATACAGCTTAAATTATTCCAAGAGAAGTGTAATACGAATCAAATTATAAATGAAAAAAATTATAATGTGCATATAAAATAAGAAAACGAAGTAAACTAACTGATAGAGGCTTGCAAATGCAATGTCCACAAACAGAATTTCGGCCTTACACCCATGCCTTGTAGTTCTTCGAGTGTCTGTCCCCACCAGAGGCGGATCCACCATGGGGTCAATGGGGTCAGACGACCCCATGGCAGATCTGGAGTTTAGTGTTAGGGACTGGTTTTTGCCCTTGGAAGCCATGGAAATGACCCCATGGAGAAGAAGAAGCTTCGGTGGCTGGGGTTCTTTTCAATTTTTTTATTTTTAAAAACTGCCTTGCAAAACGACGTCGTTTTGGGCAATGCAATTTTTTTAAAAAGATCTAGCCAAAACGACGTCGTTTTGGTCTAGGACTTTTATAAAAATAAAAAAAAACGGGCTGCAACTTCTTAATTTGGTCTAGGACTTTTATAAAAAAATAAAAAAACGGGCTGCAACTTCTTAACAGCAAACAGACCCGAAAACAGACCCTCCAAACTCCAAATTTTCATATTTCTCCTCCCTAACCCCAATCTCCCCAAGACCTCTACCACCATCTCCTCCCTTGCCACCGCCACCAAGGGTGCTAGCTGCCGTTCACCACCAGCCATTCCCGTTGCCGCCACTATTTTTGTGAAAGTTTACAATTCAATTCAAGTAAGTTCTAATTTCTAAACCCTAAGCCTCAATTCAAATAAATGAAACCTCGTCGTGGACAATTGTAACTTGTAATATTATTTTTGACATTAATTATGAGTGAAAGTACTATCGTTTCATTTTCAATATTTTTTTCATCTTAAAAAATTATTTGGTAGTTTACACTATGACCCCATGAGTGGTCATTCCTGCATCCGCCACTGGTCCCGACGATACAACTATCAATAATTCAAAATCCATGCACTTGGATTTTGAACTCTGGCAAACTATATTTGTTCTTTCTATCTCAAATAGTGGGTGATAATTCAGTGCCTACTTCTATAATAGGGTTGGCTATTTAAAAACATCTAGATAAGCTGTAAAAGGATAAGTTTAATCTGATTTTCGAATTTTAAAACGAAAATTCGAATTTAATCATCTAAGCCCAAGAGCCCACACTAAGTCAAATTTCTGCCAATTTTGTCTCGAGACCAAATATGCAGAAATGTAAGGGCTCAAATTTCTGCCAAATTTATCATGAGACAAAATATGTAGAAATATGAGGGCTTGAGTTTCTGCCCGTTTTGTCTCGAGACCAAAACTACAAAAAAATGCTCTTATTCAACATCGACCTTTCTCTCCCTCTTTGCCCCTCTCTCCCATTGCTGACCCACCCCCATATCTACTGGTTTGTCAGTTCGGTTTGTCTCCCGAAGCTAGTTTTCAAAGTCGTCGTTTCTTTGGAGAAGAACCCTACTGTTAGGGACCCATCGGAGTAAGAATATTCATAACGACACAGGCTCTGGAGCCAGGTGCGGTTTTACATACTCGAGCTGTGTTGGGAGACGTGTGTGCATGCAGAATCGTAGCAATGGTAGGGTGAGAATGTGGAGTGCTACAATATGAATACGGGTTTTCAATATGTTCAGATATTTATTCTTCTCCATAAGGAGGTATATATATGAGTTTACAGAGTGCTTTACAAGGAATGAGATTTAATCAGGGATTAGGAAAGTATCTCCTAA